GTGATGCTTTTGGCAATTCCTACAACAATTAGTTTGGCTATTCTCTATGCATGGGTGTTATAAGATTTTGCATTGGATTGACTGAGACTTAGAACCGTGAGTTAAGTGCTTGTTGGTGAGGTGGCGACTTGGTCTCCAACGTCAATCGAAAGAGGCTCCTTGCTTCCAGTTGTGTAGCAAGTCATTTGTAGTAAGTATGATTGTCAGGGCCCTACGGTGGGCACCAAACTGTAGATGCAAAAAATCTACCATCATGAAAATAGGGTCTGATCCTGTGAGGTTGAGGCCACTGACAATCCGCTAAACCAAAAGTCTTGTCGGAGGCTAGGACTACGGCGGAGGCGTCGAGTTCTTGGGAGCAAGAACTTTAGGAGCAAATAGATGGTTTTGAGTAGCGTAGATTGACTATAGGAGATTGCATGCCTAATGAGAGGGCAAACCTCTCTTTTTATAGTGAACCCAAGGGGTTGGAATCCTAATAGGACATTTAGTCCTATTTTGGGAGATAATCTCTATCATGAAAGAGATATGATTTCTTGACCTTATCAAATCAAGTTTAGTAGTTTGAGTAAGATTTGGACTCTTAGTAGAAGAGGAAATAGAATAGGACTCTGATTTCCTATTTATAGACTGTTGCAGACTAATGAACTGAAACCCAGTTTAGCTTAATTTATAGGATAGCCCAACTCATAGAGTGGGTAGGTCGCAAGGTGATTTTAAGCGTAGGCCCAATCGGGATTGGGTTGAGGCCTTAGGCCGTGACATGTTTATTTCATTATTGGGCATTGTCAAGCCTAAGATGATTTTTGGCCCTAACAGTTCCCAAACACAAAATCAAACACAAAACCATGACCAACACCACCACCCGAATGGAGATCTCCTAATATGATGGGAAGATCGACTTCGGGAGTTGGAAGAAGAAAATGAAAGCCCTACTTTCGCACAACAAAGTTGGCCTTGCACTGGAGAAAGATCCCAAGAAGTGGCCCGAAGAAAAACTAAAGAAGAATGAGGAGATTGTTGAAGAAGCTTACAACTTGATCGTGATGAACCTATCAAACAGCATACTGAGAAAGGTTGATGGAATCAAAACCCCTCTGAGGTTGTGGGGTAAGCTCGAATCCTTGTATGCTCTTCATTTTGCACCAAATTTAGCATTCCTTAAAGGTACCCTGTTTTCATATAAGATGGATAACAATAAGACCATAGAGGAAAACTTGGATTAATTCCTAAAAATGACACTAATTTTAAAGGGAACAGATCAAGAATTAGGGGAAATCAGTTTGGCTATGATACTGTTGAATTCCTTAAATGATGACTACCAAGTAGTCAAAAATGTAGTTCAGTACTCCGGTACTGTACCTACTGTTGACTTGATAGTGGCAGGTCTTAAGGCTAGGGAACTAGAATTAAAAGTTCAAAAACGAAATGGAAGCAACCTGTTTGTGAGGGGAAAACCTAATAATTTTCAACCTGCTAAAGGAAACCATTATAGCCAAGGGTCCAAAAACAAGAACAAGGGTAAATGGAATAATAGACAAAAGACTAAGTCTAGAAAATGTTTTTTCTATAACAAAACTAGCCATCTAAAAAAGAACTATTTTGAGTGGCTTAAGAAACAAAAATAGGGAAACACAGAGAGCAACCTAGCCTCTACCACACACTTAGGAGAAGAAACAGAAGTACTGACTGTTTTTGTTTTTGATAATACAAAAGATTGGGTAGATTCAGGGTGCTCATTCCATATGAGCCCTAACAGGGTCTGGTTTCAAGATTTCGAAGACTATGATAGGGATACTGTGTTCATGGGGAATAATAATGCTTGTAGGGTGAAAGGAATAGGAAACATAACCCTTAGACTTTGTAGTGGAAAATTGACAAAACTCACACATGTTAGGTTTATTCCTGAACTAAAAAGGAACCTTATCTCATTAGGAACCTTAGATGAGGCAGGGTGTTGTTATAGAGCCGAAAATGGGTGGTTGATCGTAAACTTGGAGAATCGTGCGAGATTGTAGGGGTTGACGGCCGGTGATTTGTGAGTGCATTAGGGTGGGAGTGTGAGGGGTTTTGGTGATTGTGGAGTGGGGGTTTCGATGGTGGTGACGAGAGAGCTTGGTGACGTCGGCATCAGCCGAAAATGGCCTAGGAGCGACGGTGGGTGAGAGGAAAAATCGCGGAAATTACGCAATCCAACCGCCCTGGTGGGTAGCGGTTAGGCAAGGGTGAGGGAAGCCACTCCTAGTTCGCGCCACTACTGTTGTAGCTTTGGTTGATCTATGGTGTCGATTGTGGTGACAAGGATTTGCCTAGCTCATAGGGGTGCGATGGATAAGTTTCCATCTTTTAGGGAGGTTTCTGATATTTAGTTGTCACAATCAAAAGAAAAAATTAAAAGGCAATTTGGTAATAACACATTCTACAGTGTGTCTGACCCTAACAGTGTTAATTTAAGGATGAGAATCTGCAAGTTATGAAACCAAGGGTGAGAACTTGCAGAATATCCAAACCTTGGGTGGGAACATATCGTTTACCCTTCTAAAGAAATATTATTTCAACAGCCTGTGACGTGATTAATAATTTAATCACATAAAAAAAGCAACAATAAAAGACATCAAGATAAACTATTATGCTATAAAGAATGACTCGTCATATACTATTATGCTATAAATCTTGTAATTTAGCTGTTGATTTGAGTTATAAAAAGTCATCAACTTAAAGCTTTCAGCTGTAAATAATACCGTATTCCCCATATAGAACCCATTAAAACATAATATATAATATAAGTTCTGCCATATTACATTTTATTTTCCAAAAAGAGTAATTATAAAACATATCGATTACTGCCATTTTGAGCTGGCCATGTGTTTTCTAAATATTATCTGCAATTTTTTATTTTTCATTTTAACTGAAGAAATTGTCAGCTACTTACTCTTTTGTCACGCTTAAAATTGTGTAGAATTTGTTATAAAAAAATCTGTCATCTGTCAACTTGCTTTATTTATCACACTACTGCTAGATTAATTTGTACAAACTTGATTTATATATAAACCTTAATTGTAAAGGGTTAAATCTAATTGAGACAATGTTTAGCATTTCTATGAACTATTATTACATTGTTTCACAGGTTTTTGAATTCTAGGCTAAGAGCAATTTCCAGGAAGTTACAAAACATCATGTGTAGTTTCAAGGAAATTTTTTTTTTTTTTTTTTTTAATGGGCGAATTTCGAAAGCACGAGGAAACTTTATCACAAAACAATAAGAATAATACTTCGATAAATGGGAGCTATAGTTTCAACTTTCAAGGATAAATTATTTTTATTTCACTCATGTCAAGTTGGTAGTGTTTGTGAGGGATGACAATTGATACCCAAATGGAAATGGGAATGGGGACGTGGAGGATCCGGCGAGGCCTAGATATCGAATATTAGAAAAATAAAATTAAATAAATTTCTCTAATTTTATAATTTAATAATGATAATTTTGAAATTGTATTTTTTTTCAATATTAAATACTAATAATCAATATTTTTTTATTGATTTATTTCAATTTAAGAATGTAATTGATATTGATTTTATAAAATGCTTTTATGAGAATCAATTCTTTACTAAATGTATAATATTAAAATAATGAATTGAATGATTGCTTTTAATATAATGTTAGAATGAAGATTACTATTATACCAAAACTCTTGATTCTTTTATTTTTCCCTTAAATTGTTATGTGAGAGTAGGATTTTTGAAATAATATTTTTAAAATTAAATTAAAAGAATTTATTTTATAATTGATTTTTTCAGAGGATGGGGAACGGGATGGTGATGGGATAGCAAATCCCCACCCCAACCCAAAAGTAATTCGGGGATGATTTTCCATCCCCATCCAATCTAATTGATAATACTGTATAGAGTATGAAGAATTTGTTTTTTTTTTATTGAGAATTAATAAATTAGATTAATTATTTAATAAATGTTATTCATAGTATCCTTTTAGATGTGCCTTACGATGAGTTTTCCCCCCTCAAAATTTTCTTTAAAAGAGGTTTAAATTTGTTGGATATTATTGATTTATTTGTAAACTCTTCTTGAAGGGTTTACAATAATTTTCTCCTAAAGCTTTGAGGAAAGTAATAAACACACCCAAAGGTTTTGGACAATAACAAATGCATTAAAAAAAGAAAAAAAAAAAAAAAACTACTTTATCATTAAAAACTATATTACCCATTGTCTAATTAAATATATATATTTTCAATTTTTATTTTATGAAGAAATAAAAACCGGAAAGAATCTAAAATGTTGTTTTAAATAGATTTTAGTATCCGTTATCTAGTATACTTCCCTCAGATTTTTTATTTATTAATTGTTTTAAGTATGTACTTTACTCAGATTTTTTTTTTTAGTTTATTGTATAAAATTAAAAAATAATTCACCAATTAATATATTTATTTTAATTGTAGTTGATTACAAAATTGGTTAATAAATATTACTAATTTTAATATTTATTTAGTTAGTGAAAATTAAAAAAATAAAACTGAAAAAAAAAATATAATTATACAAAGGGTAAAGTAATCAAATTTTCGGATGCATTTGTTATTATCCAAAACCGTTGAGTGTGTTTATTACTTTGTTCAAACCTTGAGGAGGCAATTTTTGTAGACAGCCTTTCTTGAACAATTACTATATTATATATTTGGCTGAAAAGCTTCACGGGTTCTTGAATTCTAGCCAAAAAAAGCCAGTTCCTTGGCGAATCTCGACGGCACGAGGGGGCTCTACTACAAAGAAAAATAAAAACCCATTAATCAAGGGGAACTCTTCTTTCAAGGACTGATTTTATATATATACATACATATTAAATTNAAATTTGGAGGCTAGTTAGGTTGGTAACAGGTAACTGGCAACTGATATCAATCGAGTAATGAGTAATCGAGTTTAAAATGTTACTTGTTTGAACCTTTAGTCTAAACGTTACTTAAGACTAATAGTCTAAGTTTTCTATTTATTCACATGAAACCATAACACAGATTTTGTAGAAGGGCCAAGACTATAGTACGAGTAAAAAGAAATTACGAAAATCAATAAAATTATAATATATGAAAAAAAGTGAAAATTCTATAACTTAAATTACCTGCCATCTTCTGGAATAGGCTCCAAGCTTCGTCATCATTTAAAGTACCCATCTGGAAATTCTTGGTAGAATTCATGCTATTTAACACCTCAAGGTCTCTTGTTGTGAGCAGTAGTTTACATCCACCACGATCATCTTTGGAAGGAATTCCCACAGCATCTAAATCAAGATCTTTCCAGATATTATCTAGAATCAAAAGAATCTTCACAGGCCTCATATTCTTCTCATCCTTCTTACCCTCGTCACCCTCGTCACCCTTCTCATCCTGCTCATCCTTCTTATTCATCTCCACAGGCCTCATATCCTTCTCATCCTCCTTACCCTTCTCATCCTTCTTACCCTTCTTAGTCATCTTCAATCTTTCATATAACTTATTTGCCTTATCTGCTACATCACTCTCATTATCCAATTTGAGACCCAATTTTTTAGCAATTTTTAATTGAATGGTCTCTATATTTGGAGTTTCTGTTACTTCTATCAAAACCACCTCATCAAAGAGTTGTTCTTCCATGGCTTTCCTACCAACTCCCTGCACAAGCGTGGTCTTGCCGAGACCTCCCATCCCATAAACACCGATCATGTAGATACTCTCATCGTTCAATGCTTCCCAAACATTCTTCTCAGTGGAAGTTCTTGATTCCAAAGCCACATAATCTTTGGTAGATCTAAGCCATATCTCCTGAGGAATAGTAGGATGGGCAACTTCATCTTCTAGCCGTAGGAATGGAAAATTATTCTTATCTAGGAGTTGACTGATACCATTCTCCTTTAACTTGAATGCTTTCTTGCCATGTTTGTAGCGGGTGATCCAGTTGGGGCACAATCCCTTGAAACATCGCGGGTTGTTTTCTTTTGCTTGAATCAACTTCTCTGCTTCATCAATTTTGGAATCCACTTCGTTCTGCCACTTCTCCACGGTCTCTTCAATCTTTTCCAGCTTTCTTCCAGCAGCATCAACCTTACGCTGAACTTTGTCTTTTGCAAGCTTCATCCCCTCAACATCTTTTTGGAGATTGCTAAAGTTGGTGTTGTATTTGTACAAGTACATAAATTGACGCCCCATCGGAGCAGCCAAGCACTTGACAACCTCCACAACAGCACTTAAGATAGTTTCCAACCATTGTCAACACTTTTTCCTTTCTCCTTCACTTTTTTTAAAAAAAAAAAAAAAAAAGAAAAAACAAAGAAAGAAAGTAAAAGATATTAAACAGACTTAAAACAGGACAAGTAGGGTGCAAACTTTCAAATTTGAAAAACACACACAAAAAAAAAAAAGGTAGAAAAGTTCAGAAATAACAGCAAGACAACAATGATGCAAACTCAAACAAAGGAAGAGGAGTGAAACAAAACTGAAAATGATGAAATAATTTTTTTTTTTTAAATAAGGAAAGGGGAAAAACAGAGAAAATAAAACTGAAAAAGTAACAGGGCAACTGCAAACTGAATAAAATAAAGATCTTTTTGTTCTTTTCCTAAACGAAAAATAGAAAATGGGAAAGGATTTTTTATTTTTAAAACAATAAATAAGAAATAAAGGAACGGGAGAGGAGTGAAAATCAAGCGATCTGGTTTCAGAGTAACAGGATTTTTAGTGGTCTCTGAAGGGGTGAGAGAGGCTTCAGAGTTGAAGTATTTTTGAGTGGTAAGTGAAAGTGGAGAGAAAGGGATGAAGAGATTGCTTTAAAAATCAGAAGTAAGGATGATGACAATCAAACAATAACCAAAACAAAGCATACGCCTAAATATAAACTCATGCATATTTTTCGATTCTTTATTATTTTATTATTCGATTCCTTACTTTAATTTTTAATTTTTTTTTTTTTCGGTATCCTTACTCTACTGCGAATAATTTAATGGCAAATATATCAATTATTTGAGCATCAATAAAAAATAAAGTTAAGACTTAAAGTATAGCTACATTTACACTATTTATTACACTATTTTCATTAAACATGATGTGGTATATGTCACATTCACATAAATTTTAATTATTTTAATTTTTATATTATAATAAAATATATTAATAAATGTAATAAAAATGGTGTAAAGGACGGTGAAAATGTACCGTTCACTAAAGTATAAAGATGAAGGATCAAGAAAAAGAATAATGAAAAAAGCACTAGCTTCCAGCTGGAGGCTGGAGCAGGGTGGCCTCCTGTGGAAGTAAGCCTTATGATGTAAGATCCTCACAAAGCAAATCAAATATTACGAGGGGTTGTTTGGTTAGAGGTTATTCCCCTGTTAAGATTTTAGTAATCTTTAAAAATTGTGTTTGATTATATAGTAGTAATATGAATACTGTTATTTTCTTAAGTATTTTAAGATTACTTGATAATCTTAATTTTATATAATTTTACCTTTAACTATTTAAATTTTTAGACAATAACACCTTTTTTTCAACAAGGCCGAACATATAACATCCATAGTTTGCTATAAAAACAATGTGATACCCAAACAGATTGAAAAAAGTCAATTACCTACCTTCCGTCCAACTGATAGTAAAGTTAGTTAAAAAAAAGATAATATGGTAATTTATATCCAACAAAAAAATATATCATTCTGCCCAATTTCTTTCTTTAATATTAATTTATAAAATAATTCTTCTCAATTTTATATTTTATTTTTATTAATTTTAATTAAAATCTTGTCTTCATCTTCTTCATCTCTCGCCTGAACCACAGGACAACTAGCAGCAAAAAGACCAAAGCCCCAAAAAACCTCACTCAAATCACCAAAGATTCAATACAAAAATCCCAAAGAATCGCTCTCAAACACTAAAAAGACCAAGACACGCAAGGCACAGAAGGTTTGGGGCAAAACCTCAAACAAGTGGTGTGCCAAAACTTGGAAAATCAATCATCAATGCCAAAATCGATCAGAAATCCCAAAAATCAAAACAAAAAAAAAAAAAAAAACACTCCCAATTAATCTCCAACCATCATTTCCTATAAAAACTCCGAAAAACACCAATCAATCCCATTCAACAAAACACACAAAACCTAGGAATTCAATGGGCGGTGAAATGTGAGCAAACGACAACGGGAAAATGGGGGTTTTGGAGAGGGCACACCGAAAAGACGATTGGCGGGGAGAGGAAAGATTTTCGGTGACGGGCTTCCGGAAAATGGTGGGGGTGCCACAGCTTTGCAAAAGACCCCATTTTTTTGCCCTTTTATGGAGGGATGAAGAAGATAAAGACGGAAGAGAGAGAGAGAGAGGAGAGAGGAGAGAGGCTTTCGATTTGGCCATATTTCGGTGTCAGGTTCTTGCCTAGTGACTGGAGGAAAAAGAGGGAGAATGAAGGGAAGAAAGAGAAGGGAGATAGTCAGAGAAAGTAAAGAGAAAGAGAAAGGGGGAGAAGAAGACAAAGGATAAGAGATTTGGTCAGATTTTTTAATATTTTTTTAATGCAATTTTTAACTTTTTTTTTTTTATGCACAAACTTAAAACAAAAAAATCAAAATTACCCCACAGAAATGAAGAATATTGATGGCTCCGTTTGGTTCAAAATTTGGGGGTTTTGGGAAAAGTTTTTTTTAAAAAGTTAAAAAAAGTTGAATTGGGCGGGTATTACGATGTAGGATTTATAAATTAATAATACCCTATATATTTATTTTTTTACAAAATACGCCCTATAATAAAACATAAAGTTAATAAAATACCCCTAACACCCTCAACACCCCCAGTCGGCCACCACCACGGAGGTGCCCGAAGTCACCTTATGGGTGCATGACCGGCTGGATCTTGCCGGTTCATGCGCCGATATGGCCTTTTCCAGCCAAATCCCACGGTGGATTGGCTGGCAAAGGCCAGATCTACGGCCAGATCTGGCCGTAACCGCCAGATCTAGCCGTATTTGCTCTCAACGACGGCCAACAAACGGTCGTCGTTGATGGTCAACGACGACCGTTTGTTGGCCGTCATGACCGACTGTTACGGCCAAAGATCTGGCCGTCAACGGCCAGATCTTTGGCCTTAGATCTGGCCTTTTCCGGCAGATCCACCGTGGATCTGGCCGGCAAAGGCTATATCGGCGCACACCGGCCAGATTCAGCCGGTAGTGTGCCATCCTACAGATTCCGGCCATTTTCCGGTCGTGGTGGCCGAATGGTAAATGTGGATTAGGGGTGTTTTGTAATTTTAAAAAAAATTTAGGGGTATTTAATTAAATTATCAAATTTAAGAGGTTTAAAAAAGTTGAATAATATTGGGAGTAGTATTCCCAAAAATCTGAGTTTTGGATATTTTACTATTTAACTTTTTTAGGAATACTAAAAGTAGTATTCCCAAAACTGAAACAACGCAGCCGATAATACCATTTTAGTTAAAAGATTATTAACTGATTTTGAGGGAAAGTAAGGCTCCGTTTGGTTTAAGATTGGAATACACTCTTGGTATCCCAAAAAAGTTAAACAGTAAAATACCCAAAATCTCTCATTTGGGAATACTATTTTAATATTATTTAATTTTTTTTAAACCTCTAAATTTGTTAATTTAATTAAATACCCCTAAATATTTTTTTTTAAATTACAAAACACCCCAACAATCCACATTTACCAGATTCCGGCCAACACTACCGAAAAATGGCCGGACTGGTAGGATGACGCACTACGGCTGAATCTGGCCGGCTGGTAGTGCGCCGATCAGCCTTTTCCGGGGATCTAGCCGGAAAAGGCCAGATCTAAGGCCAAAGATGTGGCCGTTGACGGCCAGATCTTTGGCCGAACATCCGGTCATGACGGCCAACAAACGGTCATCGTTGACCATCAACGACGACCGTTTGTTGGCCGCGTTGAGAGCAAATACGGCTAGATCTGGCCGTTGACGGCCAGATCTGACCGTAGATCTGTTTAATGTTTTATTATAGGGGTATTTTGTAAAAAAACAAACATAAAGGGTATTTTATTAATTTATAAATCTATATCGTAATACCCGCCCAATTCAACTTTTTTTTAACTTTTTTCAAAAAACTTTTCCCAAAACCCCCAAATTTGAACCAAATGGATATTTGCCATTTCAAAACATTTTGATTACCAATTTATCTTTAAAGCAAACTCTGGGTAGGTGTAAATCATTGCTTATAATATTTCAGTTTCCCAGTCGTAGTCAGCCTTCATACACTCATGTGAATACCGGAGGCACATTCCAATAGTTAATGAGATCCTTTAAACTTTAATGATAAAGAAGTATGCATGTTCTAACAATACCTAAGATAAACACTACTAATACTAAAGGGTTGTACTACCAGTTCACATCAAAGACCAAACCCAGCAAGTTTATGGATGAGTCCCTGCCTGAACACCTCTCCTCTGCTTGACTCATAACTCACTAAAAATCCAGCAAAAACAACACTTTTATAAGTTCAAATTTTCACTTCTTGCTGCAGGAGTGGATCAATCTTATCCCCATTAATTCGGATGCTACCTTGCTCTTTTTGCAGCGGGTCTCGCGGTCAGTGCCAATTGAACTTTGGCTTTTAATCAAATCCTGCTTTTAACAATGATAGAGTCAACATCTCTAGCCACTTCTTCACCCTTTCAATCTCTTCCACATTGTTTTTAGCCTCCTCAACCTTACGCTGCACTTGCCTCTTGTATTCCTCAACTTCAAAACACATCTTGGAGCTTGTCAAAGTTCTTCTCTAGTGGAATAGTAGGATAGGAAACTCTGTCGATTTCTCTTCTGCTTCAGAACATATCCTGCTTAATTTGAATGCCTTCTGCTATGTTTGTACGAGTGATGCAGTTGGGGCGCAATCCCTGAAACATCCAGGGTTGTCTTCTTTCTCTTGAATCACCTCTCTACTTCAGTAATGGTATTGTTCACCGTAGTCCGCCAGTCCTTAACGCTCTGTTTGATCTCTTCCACATTTACTTCGGCATCAGTAACCTTAACCTGCACGTCGTTGTGTATTCTTCAGCGTCCTAACTTCCTTTTCGAGATTTCTGAAATTGGTATCGTAGTTGTACAAGTACTTAAATGGACGCCCATCGGAGCAGCCAAGAACTTGACAGCATCCAGAACAAAACTCCGGCACTGGCGATAGCCCCAATAAGTTCTACA